AACACATATTTATAGGCTATAGTCTATCTCATAAAGGCTATAAATGTATGTCAAACTCTAGAAGAATTTTTGTGGCCAAACAGGTGAAGTTTAATGAAAAGGAGTTTTCTTTCAAATCTGGTTTTTTTGGTGCTGCAGACTTTGGTGCTTCTACTATTGTATCAAACTCAGTGTCTGACTCTGTTCCTTTAAGAACATCATCTGCCTGGTTCATCCCAGGTTGTATAGAAATTCCTTCTAGCAGGACTATGGACACGACTGTCACTGGAAGCCTACCAACAGAATTTTCAGAAGATACTAGTAGGAATGTTAATATAAACACAATATCTTCCAGAAGTACTACCGAGAAGCATATCAGTGTAGACTTATCCATTGCATCTCCAACACATGAGCAGGTTGTACTACCTACTGACTCTCCAGTCCATGCAGATGGTGTACCTGCACATTCTTCAATCGTGACAACTTCAGATATCATTCCTAATGCTCATCGTGGTATTAATCTAGAAGTTGTACTACCTATCACAACACCACACACTGGTATTTCTTCTACTAGTATACATCCTATGGTTACACGGCTTAAGTCCGGAAATGTACAATCATCAGCTCAAGCTTTCCTCACTACTCAACCTATTCTCAGGGAACCTCAACAAGTTAAAGAAGCTCTCTCTATTCCTGAATGGAAGTCTGCTATGGAGAAGGAGTATCAAGTTCTACTTGACAATCAAACCTGGGAGTTAGTTCCATATGAGGAAGGTATGCACATAGTTGGCTGCAAGTGGATATTTAAAACTAAGCTTAACTCTGATGGGACACTACAGAAGTATAAAGCTAGGCTTATGGCTAAAGGATTTCAACCAACCCTTGGCCAAGACTACTTTGATACCTTTTCAACAGTGGTCAAGGTTGCTACTATTCGAATAATGTTCACTTTGGCAGTTCATCACAGCTGGGAGATTCATCAGTTGGATGTGAACAACACATTTTTGAATGGGGATCTTACGGAGCAAGTGTACATGATGCATCCTGAAGGTTTTTCTTCACCCACTCATCCACCACAAGTTTGCAAGCTTAGAAAGGCATTATATGGTCTAAAGCAAGCCCCAAGGGCCTAGTTTGATAAACTGAAAACAGCCCTCCTGTCTTGGGGATTTAAAAACAGCACTTCGGATGTAAGTCTATTCTTCTACATTGCTGAATCAGTGGTAGTGTATCTATTGGTCTATGTCGATGATATTTTATTAACTGGAAATGCTTCTGATCTTATCCCTAAGGTAATCCAAGACCTCAATAGTCAGTTTGCATTAAAGGTGATGGGTCCAGTTAACTTTTTCCTTGGATTTGAGGTTAAAAGAAATGCTTCTGGACTACTTTTCATTCAGTCCAAATATGCACAAGATTTGTTGGAAAAGGCAAATATGGCTGGTTGTAATCCTAGTTCAACCCCCATGACTGTTGGAACTAAACTCAGCAAATAAAAGGGAGAGTTGTTTGACCAACCTACATTTTATTGGAGCATCATTGGAGGATTGCAATACCTAACACTGTCCAGGCCTGACTTAGCCTTCACGGTGAATAAATTAAGTCTGTTTCTTCAGCATCGAACTATAGCACATTGGGTAGCATGCAAGAGGGTGTTGCGGTACATTAAAGGAACTCTGAACCATGGCTTGCCATTTACAAAACATTCACATCTAGAGCTAGAAACCTATGCCGACGCTGACTGGGCAAGTGATATTAATGACCGTAGATCTACTAGTGGCTATGCCATCTTCCTTGGTAACAATCTTGTTCAATGGAGTTCCAAAAAGCAGAAAGTAGTGTCCCTCTCATCCATAGAAGCTAAGTATAGGTCACTCAATTAAGCTACCATAGAGTTGTCTACAACAATTATTTCAAGAGTTGAATGTTAATATCAAGCATGCTCCTGTGATCTAGTGCGATAATATGAGTGCAGGGGCTCTCTCTCCTCAAATCCTGTTTTTCATGCCTGTACTAAACACATAAAAATTGAGGTTCACTATGTGAGAGAGCTGGTTGCAAGGAAGGCTATAGCAGTGCAGTATGTTGCGTTTGAGTACCAAAAAGCAGATATTCTGACCAAACCTTTATCTGGAGCAAGGTTTCAAATGTTGAGGGATAAGTTGAATGTAACTATAGAATTACTTGACTTAACTGACTGAGAAACAATGCAGTAGAAGCACAGCAGAAAACTGACTAAGAGAACAATGCAGAAGCTGAATGTGTTAGTAGAATGATATAACAGAACATGTAGAAGTAAAATGCAGAAAGCTGAATGTGCTAGTAGAATTTTTTTTTTTTTTTTTTTTTTTTTAAAACTGACTAAGAGAAAAATGCAGAAGCTGAATGTGTTAGTAGACTGATATAGTAAAAAATGCAGAAGTAAAAGAAGGTAGTAATCAAAAGAGAGAAGTCTAGTTTAAGAGGGAATATTAGATAAAGTGTAGAAGAATTTCCTTGTATGTTAGAATGAGGTTTATCTAGAATGTTAATAGAGAAGTTTTGTTTAAGAGGGAATATTAGATAAAGTGTAGAAGAGTTGAGAAGTTTAGTTTCAGAGGGAATATTAGATAAAGTGTAGAAGAGTTGTCCTGTATGTTTGAATGGGGTTAATCTGTAATGGTGTAAAGAAAGGGGGTTTACTTTGTAATGGTCCAAAGAAGATCAAACGCAACGTTTTAGAGTCTTGTCTGTTCAAAACGCTGTGTTTTCTACATTGTTCACCAACTATAAAAGAGTTGGTACTTGTCTTCTTCAATAACAGAAAAATCACACTTCTTTTTCAACAGAATTTTATTTCTTCAGTTTTTCGTTTCAGTTACAGCTTAATCACCAATATCTTTCAGTTTGGGTGATTGCATTTTTTATTTATTTATTTTAACATGATTTTAGTGTTTTATTCATGTTTTTACTAACCTTTTTTTTTCATATAGGCAAATCTTGGGTAGTGGACCGTCCAAGTGTTGGAGTTGTCGACTACTTCAGCATTAATGGGTAACGGAGACGCACTGGGGGGTCCCGCTGCTCGGTCAGTGGGCGGGTGCCCTGCTCCCCGGTGTGCGGGCGGGGGTTGCAGGGGCAGCGCCCCCGAGCCTGTAGGCGGTTTTGGGCTTTTCCATGTATAACCGCTGTAGGATTTCTTTTAAGTTATTAATTCCTTTTTTGGGTTAGGCTTAGGAATAGGAATCCTTGTAAAACTAGGTTTTAATCTCTTAAACCTAGTATATAAACATACTTTTCTCTTGTTATGAGTGTTAGAGCAATTCATTCATTGTAAACGAGAGAGGTGAGACATATTGCAATAATATTAACTCAGCTGGACGTAGCCTACATTGGGTGAACCAGGGTAAATCGCGCGTATTATTTTTCTTTGTTTACTGTTTGATTTGTTTTACTATTATATTTTATTCCTGTTGTTGTCTCTATTTCGTTCACACTTAACATGGGGCTTCGCAATGGTCGTTGCCCATGAATATTATCAGTAAAGCATAAATAGGTCAAAATAAAATTAGAGAAATACAATCTAGGTCTTTCACTTAATATTATTTTACAAGGAGATATTAAAGATACTGTTGAATAAACCAAAGCATGTTTCATAATTTGGAATAGAATATTTTTTATTAAGAGTAAACAACTTTTTCCCACCCAAGGTTTGTAAAGTGAAGTTTCATCTTTTGCTGCTACACCAACAAAAAATAAATAAATGAATTTATATATAGACAGTTGAGGTTCGACATAAAGACTAATTGGGCTCTTCTTAAGAGCAATTAGGTGAAATTATCTCCGTTCAAAAATTTCCCGAAGACAACAGAAAACAAATGGCTCTTTATCTTCTAGTGTATTTGCAGATCATTCTCTTGCTATCGCCTATCAAAGCATCACATCAAAAATGCCAAGATATTTATGGTAATTTCCGCATATGGTATCCCTTTGGAATAGGAGAAGGCTGCTACTTTAATAAGTGGTTTGAAGTAACTTGCGACAACTCTTCTGACTCTCCAAGAGCTTTCTTAACTAGCATCAATATGGAACATACAGTTTATTTTCGAAGGGTTTCCAATATTATTCAAGCCAAAGGACTGTTGTCAACACTGATGGAAATATTTTAAATGACAGCCAGAAATTTCTTCAAAAACTGTCAGGCAGTCCCTTCATCATTTCAAAGACCTACAATATGTTAATCGCCTTCGGTTATGATCCATTGAATACCAGCGGTGAGTGCCACTCTTTCTGTAACTGTGATATTAATAAACGATATAGCTGCTGTGACTTGTGGTGCAGGCTTTCTCCAAATCAAACGTTTAATGGTGGAAACATATTAAGCAATTTTCCCCAGCTTCAGGGATGCACCAAGTCGCCCTTCATGGCTGACAAAGAATGGCTCGAGGCGGACTACCTATTCACAAATCGTTCTGGTTCTGTCTTGAGGGATAAAGTTGTTCCTGTAAGCCTCGGCAAATTGTAATGAGGATAAAATATGTTTAACACAATTAAACTCTGGCGATTATTATTGTGTTTGCGATGACCAAAGGTCAGATTACCACCAAGGATGTTCAGGTACAAAAATCCTTCCACTTTGTTTTCGAAACTTTCATGCATAATCAAATTGCAGAAGGGAAGATTAATCTTTTTTGTTCTTTAAATTAATTGTACAGGTGACTTGATTTGTATTACAACGAGAAATAGTAATTGCTCTAAATGTCCTGATGGTTATAGTCTTTTTCCTTATAAGACATTTCAAGAATTTCGGTGCTCCTTGTAATACCCCCCCTTTTTTTTTAATGGAATTTTATTAAATTTTATTTTGTGATTCTGGGGAGTAAAGTGTAATAATTTGAAAGTTTTGGAGAGTATTAAACTATTAATATCCGAAAAAAGTGGGGGCTACATAAACTTTTCAGATATTTTAATAAACAGTAACCATTCAAACAAAAGGAAAACGGAGATGAACAAGGAAAAAGAGAGAAGAAAAAAGGAGAGAAACAGGAAGAGAAAGAAGGGAGAGAAAGACAAAAACGAGAATAGAGAGAGAGAGAGAGAAGAGAAGAGGGCGGTGGAGGTGGCTGGAAAAGTGGCCGGCGGTGAGCAAAACGCCGTTGATCGGAGAGTGGAGGAAGATCAAGCACATGGGAGGTGAGTAAAGCATGATATTTCCCTTTTTGGTGATTTATGATTCAGTTGGTTTAAAGAATCTCTTTGGATTGTTTAGTCTATGATTTGGTATAAATTCATGAAAACAAAACTGAAATGTGGAGATTAATTGCAATAATTTAGGTAGCTAGAGCATATATGTTGTTCTTAAACCCAATTTGTTCTAGATGTGAATTTGGGTATGGAGGGTTACACTGTGAAGCCTGACCATTTGAATATGTTGTTTTAGACTTCTTGAGGAGTGTTTGAAAAATTATGTCACTCAAAAATTCGAATTATTGAATTTTTTATAGATTTTTGAATTCTGCCCTGAAAATTCTAGAATTTTCGTTTTCTGCAGATCATGTATTTTTGGAAAATGATTTGATGCATCTATTCTTATCCAAATGGAGTGATTTTAAATTCTGGTGAATCCTATATGTGTCTAGTTTAATTCTGGAGAGTTTCATGAGGTTTATATTAAGGGCTGAATTGTTATGAACTTTACAAGTCAGGAACCTCAATTCTGGAAACAGTTGGCAGATTTGAATGAGTTGAAAGAAAATTGTGTTTTAAATAGTTATTGATTCTAGAATGACTTGAGAAAATTATGGGAACAACTTATGTGTCTCTAGAATGCTCCATTAAAATTATGGCTTAAATTGATGAATGAAATTTTTATGAAAAATCCGAGAGCGACTGATGTTCGGTTATGAGACAGTTTTGTTAAAGAAGAAGTTAGGTTAATCTTTTGGTGTGTGAAGTGTCCAATGATTTTAATATTGAGGTGTTACCTTAGGGGGACTTAAGTATGGAGGATTTATTGGATTTTGTATATAGGGAGGCAAGCGGGGGCACTGTTAGAGGATTTCAATCTTTTTCGACTTAAGGGTCTCTAAAATGTGAGTGGAAAAATCTAAACCCTAAATGCTTATTTATACTTGTTTATTGTTTTAAATTGCCTAATATGCTCAATTTCTTTCTATAAATAAGCTTTATTGCAATGTTATTGTTGGAAATTGTTGATTGACACGAGAAAGATGAAATTTTGATGCTTTTGGGCAACAGTTTGAAAAGAAATGAAAATGGGTTGAAATTGTTAGATTTGAAAACATTTGAGAACTTGCATTTATATTTTTAGGTTACATGAGATGTTATGAAATTATTATATTTTATGAGAAAAATGTTTTGAGAGTATGTATGAGATGTTAGTGGTTTTCAAACCACCCTACGTAGTACCCATCCCCTTCATGATATTGATTTGATTCTACGCATGCGTATGATTGATGATTTGCTGGCCCAAGTAGGTTGAATGCCCGAGCTAGGCAGATATCGCTACACATGATTTGATTTGCCGACCTAAATGGGTCGAAGGCCCGAGCGAGACAGATATTGCTACACAGGATATGGTTGTGCATACGCTGAAAAGTTTAAATCAACTACTGAAAAGAAATGCTCAAGTCAAATTTTCGATAATCATAGGTATGCATACACTGTTAACAATTTTTTTTTTTTTTTTTATTTAGTTATTAATCAAAATATTGTTCTATGCACTTGATCTTGCCTCATCATGTTTTAATGATTTTATAAACTCAAGTATAATAGCAACAGTGAGTAGAATGAGCATTAAAGCATAAGTTATATATTCTGAGAATTCTGTAATAACAATAATAAGAAAAGCTACCAAATGTGGGGCTTTTTATGAATTAATTATATTGCTTTCATACCTTGGCGTGTGATTGTCAAAATGTTAGTATCTAGTTTGAGTTTACTGCAGAGATAAATTGTGAGTGTGAAAATGTTTAGTATCTAGTTAAAGGAGTTTGGCTTGAGGCTAGGAATTGGGTTATTTGCCTTATAATTTAACTTTCTAATTGATTGGTCATTGAGGATATGTTCTCATAGATATTCTTTACGTACTTATTTTCTTTGCTGACCTCAGGGTGAAAATGCTGGTGGAGGTAATAATAGTGGAGATGATTACATAGAATATGCAGATGAAGGTTACGTTCATGAGGATTTTTGGCAGACTGGAGACCGGGTGGTCCCAATAGCAGGTTTTCTGGGCGTTCTTTTTTAAACATTAGAGATAAACTTCTTCCTAATGGGTCTGGACAGCAGCCAAACCATCCATTGAGAATCAATAAGTCTCAAGTCTGATTACCAACATATAGGGCTCGTAGACGGAACAAGGCACACTTGGTGAAATTAGCACCAGACTTGCCTCCTGTTAATCTCCCACCATCTGTTCGAATAATCTCACAGTCAGCTTTCAAAAGTGTCCAATGTGGATCATCTGCTAATGTTTCTGTCACTGGCAGTGGTGTTGGCTGTTCTGAACAAAAAAGTACAGCTCCTCTAATATCTCATCTTGTAAGGTTGGGAACTCCGCATTTAATAAAAACTGGAAGAGATAAAAGCAATTTAGTGAAAGAAAATGTCAGAAATATGCACCTAGAAGAATCTCATGTTGTTGAGGACGAAAGAGTTGCTGAGTCAGATCTTCAGATGCATCCTTTATTGTTCCAGGCCCCTGAAGATGGACGTCTGCCATATTATCCTCTGAACACTGGCACTGGTACTTCCAGTTCTTTTAGTTTCTTTTCAGCAAATCAGCCCCAACTTAATATGAGTCTTTTTCACAATCCCTGCCAAGTCAGTCATGTTGGTTGTTTTAATGAATCTTTGAAGACCAAAGAGTCCTCCAATACAGCGTCATCTGCCATTGATTTCCACCCACTTCTGAAAATAAGTGAGAATGCAAATGGTGACTCAGTGACTGCACCCTCAACTGCAAGCAAATCTAATGAGAAAGCTAATGACCTGGACTTGGAGATCCATCTAAGTTCTTCATCCACAAAGAAGAGAGCTTTAGTAAGCAGGGATATGACCACACAAAATCTTATGCGGTCAGCAAATAATGCTATAAACTCTGGACAGGGAACGGAAACTCAACATACTAACAATTTACATTACTGTTATGGCGAAAATTATGGCAGGTACGTTTTAAGTGGCCAATTGTCAGATTTACCAAGCACTAGAAACATTGATGATATCGGTGATCATTCCAATCCTGGGATTGTGATGGAACAGGAAGAATTAAGTGAGTCTGATGAAGAAATCGAAGAACATGTTGAGTTTGAGTGTGAGGAGATGACTGATTCTGAAGGGGAGGAGGGTTCAGGCTATGAACAAATTCCTGAGATGCAAGAAAAGGTGGCTTCAATATTTCTTTATATCTTTATTATGTTACTTTCGAGTTCTAAGAAGGGTGCAGTATTTGTGCTGAGACTAACGTATTTTCACTTTATTTGTCATGGCTTCATTAGTGTCCCTGTTTATACATTTTGCGTTGAAGATTTTGTCATTTTTGGGGAAATGCTAGAACTATTTTATTGTGGTAAAACAGATTTTTGCAGCAATCTATCAACACTTCTCTGTAATTCTCTTATGCCTGAATTTTCAGTCCTCTTGCACACTAAATGTGCCAGTGATAATGAGACATCACTGATTTTTTTGTTATATTAATTGTGGTTGATCTGGTACCTTGGTTTTCATTGTTTTCCTTGGTTTCTTGACTAGTCGATGAATACTTATACTCTTGGTCGATGGTGAAGTTAATGATTTCTGAATTCTGAGCTGTTGTATACTAGTTTCTGCTTTCACTTGTGATTTTTTGCTTGTTCATAGGAGGTCTGTGGTATTTTGGAGGAACATGCGAGAGACCGAGATAGTAATGATCAAAGACATGAATCAAGGAGCCCTTCTTTTGCTCAGGGCAGTGTTTTGGTCCCCAGAAACGCCTCTCCTTTCTTAAAGCTGGGATTGATAACCATGGGGAAGGATACTACAAGCAGTTCATGGTTAAGTTTAAATTCATGTGCACCGGGTCATCCTGCACGCACAAAACATAAGAATACAGAGGGCACAATCAGTGAAGCCCCTTCTGCTAAAGATATTGCTTCTCCTGCCAACAGATCCTTCAAGAAGACAACTCCTACCACGAAAAAGGTTGCAGAACAGAAGGATGCCACAGACATGGCCCAACAACTCAGCCTGAGTCCCACTGTGAGGAAGCCAAGGAAGCGTACATTGCCAAACTAAAACAAGTTTGAATATTGGAACAACTACGAGAACCTCCACCGTAAGGTTAAACAAAGCTGTTTGGGTACCGTGTACTGGTTTTTGTTGTCATCTTTCCCAATTAGCAAATGAGTAATTGGTGGCGAAGTCCAAGTACTTGAAGAGGCAGAGATAATTGATCTCTTTTCACCAACTTCTGTTGATTTATTGGATTCATATAACTGCTAACTAGGTTATAAAGAAGCTCTTCTTCTTCTTTTTGTCTTCTTGTGAATATTATTATTATTTTATTTTATTTTATTTTGAGTTTTTGAGGGATAAGTCAAAAGTAAATGTGATGAGTGAAGAAAATGTACAGACTTACATTTTGCTTGTAAATTCTGCATTAGTAGTCCCATTTTTGTTGGCCTGAAATGAATTCATCTTGGAAAATCTTTTGCAAGACTCTTCTGATAGTACAAAATTGGTAACCCAATTTATCTGTTTTGGCAATGAAAAAATAACTGCAGGACTTAAAAGTGAGTGGTAGCTGTTGCACTCGAGTTTTGGACCATAACCAATCCTTATAATATGTTGGAAATGTGAGAAAATGAGTTTTGATAATTATATTCAATAGCAAGAAAATAAGAAGCAACCTCAGAAGAACCAACACAACAACTATTGAAATGAAAAGTGAATGTTCTGAAACCCAGACCAGGCAGTCGAACTGGTTTGACCGGGTTTTGTTGGAATTTTCGGTTTAAAAAGAGTAAAAAAAAACCATGATTTTACGTTGGATCGTTTCAAACCGTTGTTAGACCGTTTTACTGTAGCAAACCGACAGTCCAATCAGTATAACAAATAAATTCAGTCCACGTCCAATCCGGTCCACTGACAAATTACAAATTAAAAATTTGAAAAAAACCATAAAGTCAAACCTCCAATTTTTTTAATCCATTTCTATTTGCTTTTGCGGTTCAGCTGTCTGCCACTTTGCTAATTTGAAATTTGCTTTTTCTTCAAGTCTACACTCTTCAACTCTTCAACCTTTTCAATCATTGCTATCTCCTCCTCTTCAATCAACCTCTTCAGGCTCCAGTCCAGTCCTCCTCCATTCGTGATCTCCTTCAAGCTTCAGCTTCAACCTTCAAGTCTTCAAGTTTTCAACCTCTTCAATCATTGTTGGTCTGCTATTCTACTTCTTCCTTGCCGTGGCTGGTCTGCTACACTACAGTTTCGTCACTTGTCAGTCGTGACTTCAACTTCAGTTCAGAGTCTTCATTCTTCAACTTCAAGTCTTCAACGGTTCAACCTCTTCAATCATCGTCGTCGCCATCTAAAAGCCTACTTCTTGCTTGCCGTTGCTGGTCTGCTACATTAGTCAGTCACTACTTCAACTTCAGTTCAGATTTCAGCCTTCACATCTGCCGTCGTCTGCGAGCTGCCGTTTGCCGTCGACCAAGTAACAAACTACTGTAAGAGACTAAGAGTCATCTTATCTTTCTCAGTCTTATATTGCATATCATGGTTCATAATATTGTATTATTGTGATGTGAAATTGTGAATCACTGAATCTGTCAATTTAAATTTTGAAACTCTTAACACTGGTTTCTTATTGTGAATCTGGAACATGCCTTTAACATAATGTCAAACCTCTACAATTATTACATGCAATCCTTTTGATTAACCATTACGATTCTCTTTGCTTCCAACAATGATCATCTAATATAAACTTTTCCTTCAGACTGAAGATATACAGCAGTTCAGTTTTGGCTTTTGTGGGGATTGGTTTTCTTTTTATGTTGTGATGGGTGATGTGTTCCATGGCTGCTGGCAGATCAAATCTTTTTGGTTTCAACTTTTTCCCTTCACTTGCTGTGAGCTGTTGCTGAATTTGTTTGTGGTTGGGTTGGTGGAATGGATTGATATCGCATAATTTTGTATGTTGGTTGGTGGATTGGTATTTTGATATTTTGTAATTTTGTAATTCTGATGCTTGATGGATTCATATTTGATAGTACTTTGTAATGCCTTTAATGATATTTGAAACTTTAGACTTGAGGATTGAATTTGTAAACATTAACTATCAAACTTTGATGGTTTTATTATTATTGCATGGTTGGTTTGATGGTTTTTAGATTTTAGTTACATAAAAAATCTAGATTTTTAAAGTTTTTTTCCTTTTTGCTGATGTCATCAAGTTGACATCCCGTGAAAACTGGGAACCGGGCCTTTGGCCAAGTCGATTCCCGATCCGGTTTTCAGAACATATTGAAAACTATGCAAAATTTCTTATTGTCAAACTTCTCATTTGAAGAGAGTCATTCATACAATAAATGGAACAAGGGTATTTAAGTAAATATTCATTAACCTATCATATTATAAAATCTAAAAAAAAAGTTCAATAACGGCTAACTAAAGGTAGGAGGATTTTTATCATTTCTAAAATCTCAAGGGAACCTTGTTGTTGATTTTACCTCAGGGGGTTCAAAAAACAAAAAAACCACTTAATCAATCTAGTGTAAACAAAATAATCAAATATTAGAATTAGAGGTTTAACATCTTGACAATTGATGACATGTTTGACTAGGGTTTTGATAGATTATAAAAAAAAATGCTTACCCATCTCAATGGGTAAATGTTATTATTCTTTTAGTTATGTAACATTCAAGGAAAAAAAATTTTTAACACTATTTTAGTATTTTATGTGTATTTTACTAATTTTTTTTTTTTTTTTTCATGGAGGCAAATCTTGAGTCACGGATCGTCTGAGCACAAATACCTTCGTTCAATTCACGATTTTTCTTACATGGATTTCATAGGAAACAAAAGGGGGAATGACATTTTCCAACCCAAGGTTTGGCAAAACAACACTTTTCCACCCGCCAAGTTTCAAAATGACATTTTCCCACCTTTCATCAGATTTTGTTAATATTTGACTGAAAAGACAAAAATACTCATAAATAGTTTATTTCTTAATTAGTTTATTATAAATTAAAATTTAGGTATGTCAAAGTCTTTACTCAATTATTTATTAGTTCAAATGTAAAGATATATTTTTCCCTTTATTTATTTAATTAATTAGGCATATTGATTTTCTATGTTAATTATTAAAAATGAAAAACATTGTATTATGAAAAACATTTTAAATTTAATAGATTATTGAATAATAGTGATGAAATATTTGATGACATTATAAATAAATAAATAGTAAGGTCATTTAATTTCAAATAATTTTACAGCATTAGTCCTAAACTTTTTAGTTGAGGTTAACTATTTTTTTTTTTTTGGGGGGCTTTTTAATATTTGACTTTTTGGCTAATTAAAAAATTACAAAGTCAAATATTTAAGGGTATTATCATATTTTCAGTCAAATATTAACAAAAAAACATAATAGAACCTAACGGATGGTGGTAAAATGTCATTTTGAAACTTGAAAGGTGCGAAAGTGTTGTTTCGCGAAACCTTGGGTGGAAAAATGTCATTCTCCCTAAACAAAATGATAAACATATCGGTTCAATGTCAAACTAACTACTTCAAGAACACGCATCCATATATAGTGCAATGCTTACAGATTGCCTAAATATGGTTTTGATTGATTTGAATTTATTTGTGAGAAGTTGGTTTGGGTAATGGCACTTTTTATTTATTTATTTTAACACTATTTTGGTGTTTTATTCATGTATTTTACTATTTTTTTTTTTTCATGGAGGCAAATCTTGAGCCACGAACCGTCTGAGCACAAATACCCTCGTTTAAAAGCATATTTTTTGTGTAGAAAGTTTCAATTCAGGATTTTTAGTTACATAGATTTCATAGTAAACAAAATTATAAACATATCGGTTCAAAGTCAAAATGACTACTTCAAGAACACGCATCCATAAACGGGTTATAAAAATGTAACCAATTTAGGGGTTTGAACTCAACATTATATTTAGTCTAATAGTCATTAACACGATCAACTTGTACATTGGAAAGTTTAAACTAGTTATCAATATATTATATATCTCTCGTAGGTTTTACTAGACCCTATTATCAAATTCAAAACAATTTCTTCCGCATTTGCACCTACTCCAAAGACTTCTGCAACTATTAATTCTTCTCACTGATCAAATACTTGGCTTTGTGGATTGAATCTTGCTAACTTTTCCAGAGAAAGGTGAGGGTGGGGCAAAGAAATTAATGACAGAATTCAAGAGCTGTAACCCATAAATATTATTCAAGAAAGTTATGCAAATGATAATATATTACTATTGCATGCAACTAATACAGCACAAGCTAGGAATTAAATAACGGACCCTAAATATTTTATGGCTTAATTAATCACCCTAAGATCGATATGATATACTAACAAAAATCACTGTAGGGTTCTAAACTAATAAGAATCCTTTTATTGTTAAATTTGAGGTGTTAAAATAAATGATAAGATGGCAATTGAGTAATATTTACTAACTCATAACAGTATAAATTTTAACGGTTCACTAGTAGTTCATTAACAGTAGGTGACTTTTTGTTTTTTTAGAAACTTTAGGGGGTGTTTTGGTTAATATATCATACTACAGGGGGTTATGGTTGCTTTAACTGGGATTTCGCTAATTTGGGAAGTTCTTTTTTACTATTGCACGCACCGACATCTTATGTATTAACCAAGTTAGCAAAACGTATTTCATTATTTCTTATATCATAGTTTATTAACATCTTTTGTAACTCAACGATTTATGTTAAATTATTGTATCCTTGTTATAATTTAGTGGTGCTATTCAGTAATAATTCAAGAAAGATAAAGTGGAGAAAATAAGTAAAAGGGATGAAAGTGAGAGAAGTGAGAGGTGCTTGCGATAATCTTGCATGGAATTTAAGAATGAAAGGGATGGTTTTTTTTTTTTTTTTTTGGGGGGGGGGGGGGGGGGGGGGTGGTTTGTGGTTCACCTTTTTATAATATTCCCCCTTGGACATCCACCATTTACAAATAATTATATTTACCCTTACTCAATAAAAACCCAGTGAGAAAAGACCTAAGAAAAGAAATACAACTCCACAATAAAGTTGGATGTGCTTCATATTGCCTCATTGAACACCTTGTCAGGAAAACCCAGTATGACAAAACCTGATCAAGGAAAATAGAGTACAGTGCACATATGTTCAGTACAATAAACTGTTCTTAAAAAAAACTCCCCCTAATTGATGATTCTCTTGATCAATGCTCCCCCTCATAATGATAGAGTTAGTTTAGTAACTTATTGAGCCACTGCATACCGATCTTATACACTAACTTTTAAAATGTTGATGTCAGTAAGGCTTTAACGAATAAATCTGCAAGATTATCATTGGAGTGTATTTGTTTGACATCAATCTCTCGATTTTGCTAGAGTTCGTGTGTGTGAGTTCGCGTGTGTAAAAGAACTTCGGTGAAATGTGCTTGGTTCTGTCTCCTTTAATATATCCTCCCCTGA